TCTAATGCTGCCTTACCTAAAGAATTTTGGGCCGAAGCTGCATCTACCGCATGTTATTTGGTAAATCGTTCCCCACACACATCACTCGACTTCAAGATTCCAGAGGAAGTTTGGTCAGGTAATCCTGTTGATTATTCGAATTTGAAAATTTTTGGATGTCCTATTAGAAATTTTTGGATGTCCTGCATATGCACATGTAAATCAGGGAAAATTAGAGCCTAGAGCTCGAAAATGCATATTTATTGGTTATGCATCTGGTATGAAAGGATATCGCTTGTGGTGTCCTGAACTTAAGAAAGTAATTATCAGTATGGATGTTACTTTCAATGAAGATGTGCTAATTCTCCTTGGAAAAGAAACTGTCGGTTCTTCCTCTTCTGACACAGGTGATTCGAAGAACACCGACGAGAAGGTGGAGCTTGAGTTTGAAATACCAACTTCTAGCAAGGAGAATATTTCCTCATCTCCGATCACATCGGAGGTTCATGATTCCACTAAACAAGATCATCGTGAAGACTATTCTATTGCCAGAGATAGACCCAGGAGAGAAATCAAATGGCCTGAAAGATATAATGAAGGGAATTTGGTTGCTTATGCTTTGCATAGCCATGATATCCACATCTAGACTCTGCATAGCCATGAAAAAAAAATAAGATTTCCAGAATTATAACGTAAAAGTTTTTCATTCAAATAAATTATGAAATCATGTTTAAAAATCATGTTTAAGGTAATGAGTGATCTTGTTGTCTTCAAATATGTACAAACAAAAAATATCAGATTTGAAAAAAAAAAATAAAAAAAAGCAGAAGAACAAAATAAAGAATGGGAGCTGTCATTAGCATTTCAGTTCTGTTTGATTGTATTGAAAACACATATTTTAGTTGCCTTCGTTATCTCTTCAATAACTGCCCAGAAAGAAATAATTGCAGAGCGCGAGAGAGAGAGGAGAGGAAGGTAAAAATTAGAGAATCACTGATTCTTTAGAAATCTAAATTTTTAGCTAAAGATAAAAAAAAAAAAAAATTGATGGACATTATCATTATAGGAAAAAAAAAAGTTGAACAGGAATACCTATTTGATTGATTGAGAAATGCAGGGAAATCAAAAGGAATATGAAATCAAATTTAAAAAATAATTTATTATTTGAACCAATATACATTGGAGGGTTTCCACGTAAATCTTGTATCTCTTCCATTTATTATTTTACTTCTCATTTTATCATCAACTACCGAAATTAAATATTTATCCATTACTACGCTAAATTCCGCAACAAAAACAAAGAACTCCAATGTCAAAAAAAACTTTCTTTCACTTTTCTCCAGTTTCTTAGAAACCAAATACGTTTTAGAGAAAGAGAGAAAATATCTCAATGCTATTAATAGCTGGTTTGCTCTTAAGAGAATACCTGGATTGTAATAATCAAAGAAACAAAGAATGTACCTTGCTTCTTAAATATCTCAACAACACTGACAACATGAATGACATAAACACTGCCAACTCTAGAGTTAGCATAGATAGTGTATAGTAAAGAAATATACAAGAGAAAGCAAAAGATGCAGCAACCCATATTTTCAAGGACCTTATTTTTCATTATTTAAAGCATAAAAATTTCATCTTTTTCAATTTTGTTTTCTTTTACATCAGCACTTATTGTTTTGTTTTTGGGGAGGCATGAAACTGCTGCTACTCCTAATTTCTGCAGCTCAAGTAACATGTTTCATCTCAAGTAACATGTTTCATCTTTTTTTATTTTGTTCAATTATAAAATCTGAATAGCTTTTTGTTTCTTCTTCTTCTTTTATGTGTAATGCCAGGAATCTATCCAAAGTAAACAAACAAAGTAATTATTCCTTTTATGCATGATTCCATGAAAGAATGAGACTACTGAGCTCAATAATTGAAATCTCTAGGCATGATTTGTGTAAACTTTGTATAACTTGTTGCCAAACTACCCAATTAGAAGAAATAACAGATCTAATTATCTCCGATCATAAAAAGCTCAAGGAAAAAATCTTCAATAGCCAAACAAATAGACTTTGACTTTCACTACAAATATCAAATCCTCAAATAGAAATGTACCAAACAAACATACAGTTATAATTTCAAACCATAACAAATAATTTAGATAATTAAAACCCTGAATACTAAAATTGACGCAGAACGGTTACGTGAATGGAAAGTAACGATTATACTCTTTCAGGAGTTTTGATCAATGACATTTGATCTGACAAATAAAATAGAGGATTAAACTCTCAAAGAAGTTTATTGATATGAATAATGATCAATAAAATAATACTCATGCTCTTAATACAAAATAACCTATTTAAAGAGTTAAGTCAAAACATAAAAAACCCTAAAAAATAACACAAAGTCGTAACTGGGCACATCCATAATAAGGGCAGCGGCACAAGTGTGCTTGGTATGACACAGGCGTGTTGAAAATGACATGTCCGTGCTCCTTCTTCTTAGCTTTGCAGCGATTTAAGTGTTCCATATATTGAAGTGCAAGTTGCTTTGCATAAAAAATTTAGGTCTAATCTTCGTTAGTGTGAGTATCGAGATAAAGCAAAGAAAAATTAAATATAAGTATTCAAAGAATCTAATTAAATCAGAATCAATGAATATGAACATATTGAGGATATGCAGTAATTTCAAATATAAAATCTAGCAAGAAATCTAGAGATGAGTTTCATGCAAAGCAAAAGAAAAAAAAAATTGATTTCTCTAATTTCAATTTCATTGTGAAAAGAAGGAAAAACCGAAATTTCTGCCCAAGTATTTTTAAGTTTCTTACAGAAGAAAAAAATCTAATTTCAATTTCATTGTGAAAAGAAGGAAAAACCGAAATTTCTGCCCAAGTATTTTTAAGTTTCTTACAGAAGAAAAAAAGAAAACAATACAAATTAAAAAAGAGAATTAAATGCAAATAAAAATGAACATTACCCAAAAGGAGGAATAATCTAGAAGCAGTTCACAGAAATAGAAAAGAAGAGAAGGTGAAGTCGGCAAGGAAAAGGAAGAGATTGTGGTCACTGTAATTTAGAGAATATGTAGTAATGTTTTGTCTGTAAATGACCGATACAAAGAAGAAGGGTAAAATAGGAATTGTAAAAAAAATTGGTTCAATTGGTATAGCACTATTCTATGAACAGTGATTTTGGATTTTGTTTTAATATATATATATATATTTGCTGGCATTTTTCTTTAATAATATATACTATACTATACTACTATATATATATACTATACCTACTACTATATATATATATACTACATAAAACTCATTCCTTTGACGTTAGGCCTAGTGTTTTGTTAAAAAATCCCTCATCTTGAATGTTAAACACTCCACTGTTAAACACAGACCACAAACCCCCTGGACTCACCCCACCATCGAGATTCGCACAATTGAGCGGAAACCCCGAGAAGTCTCATTCTTCCCTCCAAGCTCCCAACAGCGCATAACTTCAACACTCCCCTCAAAACATCCCTCTTTGAGTTCGCCTGGTCAATTCCATTCGGCAAGCCATCTTTTTATTTTCATCTTCCGAGACATGCAGAGACCCTTCAGTTATATAAGCACAGCATTCTAACTTTTCCTATAGCTGGTAATCAGGAATCCTGCATGATCAAAATAATTATCTACTATTAATACAGATTCTACTATTACAAGGATTTTAATATCGGAACTCCTATGTCATTTAATTATTAAAAACTTTTACAGCGACTAAATATTTTCATCTACGACAACCAATCTATTACCATATTTAACACAATGCCAGTCATATTTCGAATAAAATCACATTGTACACTCTAAAAATTAAAGCTAGTCATGTATAAGTCAAACACTAAATATGTATAAGTACAAATAAATAGAAAAACACCGGAATAAATAAAAAAATAATTATGATTTAATTTAATAATACTAAATATCCCTATTTTAACTGGCTATATAAAAATAAAAAAAAAAAAGAAATTGTAAGATACATTATGCTAGAGGGAATGAGGAAAAAGAAAATTGTTGGTAATGAATATGCTAGAGCAGTGTAGAGGTGTGTCAGGCATAAACTCCAATTGCCCTCTCCTTCTACTCCTGACCTATCCCTTTCTCTCTCTCTCTCTAACATGTATTTTCTTTTTGTTGAATTTTTTTTATTGTCAATAATTGGCATTTCTACTTGCTAAACATCCTTCTGACACAAGTTGTATCAATGTGCAGATATTTAGTTTTTAGGACATTTTTATCAGAAGACTTTCGTGAAATACACACCCCAAAGTTGATTGCTGGCTCTAGTGAAGGCGGTTCTGCAGTATTTAAGCTGGACTACAAATGGCAAACTGCATGTTTGGCACAGTCACCTCAGCTTCACAAGCAAATGGCTATCTGTGGTGACTTTGAGCGTGTGTCAAATACTTTATTACTAGAATTCAAAATTAAAGTTTTATGCTCAATAAACAAAAACAAAAGCATGCAGGCTTCCAGTTCCAGTGCATTTGGCCTTCAACTTTTCCTTTTTAAGTCATAACTATGCTCTCTGCCTGTTGACAAAGAGTTCCACTAATTCAATTATTACTGAATACTAAATTAGAAAGGAACATATTTTGAATTTTGCTTTACAAAGCATCATTAGAAGTGATGGAATGAATACAAGATAATATAAATAAATTCCATCTAACGAGTGAAAGTGCAATTGGGCCTCACCTTTACATAGCAAAGTGATGTTCGTTGTAATTTCTTTGTGGAAAGCACCGCACTTCTGTAATTTCAGTGAAGCATCCCAGAAAGCATGGAAAAGGGATAATCTATGAGGCTATATTGACACATATAAAGCTCTTAGTCGTTTTAACATTCTTCCTCATCCTTGGCCTTATCGCAATTCTTCAAATTTTAGTGTCATCTCTTTGACCGGCACTTGTCATTTCTAGCGAACAAATAGAGGAAGTTATATTGGTAAAAAATGTCTTCTCTAGCGAACAAATAGAGGAAGTTATATTGATAAAAAATGTCTTCAATATCATCTTCCACTGTCCCTCCTAAAACAAACTATGATGTGTTCCTCAGTTTTAGAGGTGTTGATACCCGCTTGAATTTTACTAGCCATCTTTATGCTGCTTTAAGGCGAAAGCATATCACAACATTTATTGATTATACTGGTCTTGAGACAGGAGAAGAGATATCTCCAAATCTTTTGAAAGCTATTGAAGAATCGAAGATGTCAGTCATCATTTTCTCCAAAAATTATGCCTCCTCTCAATGGTGTTTGGATGAACTAGTCAAGATAATGGAGTGCATGAAGTCAATTGGACAGAAGGTTTTACCAATTTTCTACCGTGTAGACCCTTCTGATGTTAGAAACCAGACTGGAAATTTTGGAGACGGATTTCGAAAAGTTAAAGAACAATTTCAGGAGGATGCAGAGAAGATTGATAGGTGGATCACTGCTTTGACGAAAGCAGCCAATCTATCTGGATGGGATTCGAACAATTACAGGTAACACCTTTCATAAAAACAATATACATCATTTTCTAATTGAATAAATGTACACAAATTATTCAATTTCTTTATCATATTTGCTAGGTATGAATCAGAATTAAGTGAGGGAATCGTTAACCGGATCTTGAAGAAATTGTATCCTGCATATTATAGTGTTTGCAGTAACTTGCCTGGGATTGACTTACACATCAATAATCTTTTGTCATTGTTATCTAAAAAGGTTGCGTACCTGACATCGTTGTTCGTCGATCTTGATGTGCAGAATTAGGTTTGCAGCCTTCCAGAGAATTGAAGAATCGATTTAACGGAAGCAGTACGAAAGGAACGTAAAACTGAATCGTATTCAACTCCTCTGGGGACCACAACCTTTATATACCTGTAGGTTAGTACAATTCCTATTTCGGTCCTTTAACGAAATAGAAACTATATAATGGTCTATACACTTAATATCTATAATTAGTTGATACCTCAATAGTCAATTATTCACAATCAAGACCACATTTGAAATTGACTTTACAATTAGACTGCTGTCTTTACAATTAGAACTGCTGTACTCCTCTCTCACACTCTTTAACATATTAAGCCCACAATAGCACAACACTTCTCCACACTCCCAGACAACTACTTCCTCCCCCACTTGGCGGCGAACATTACTGGTTCACAATAAAAATACATACAACCAAAATGAGCTCAACAAACGCAGTCATAAAGTAATCCAAAAAACATACTCGTCCATCTAGTTTTATATTGATAAAAGCTCGAAGAAACATTCCGGCCATAGATCTCAATGACCTAAGTCTCATCAACTACATTACCCCACACTCACCCCTAAAATGACATAGATTCATTATAGAACGTGTAGCATGCAAAACTACAGCACCATGTGATCACCTCTCGCTCTCGCCTCTTCACTGGCCAAACAAAAGTGAGAATCAACGCAAAACAATACATAATAATACAGAGTGTAACCATCACAAATGAGCTCAACAAAATTCTCACATCACTAAAACATATCTAAAACAAAACTAGAGCATAAAAACTAATGTTACATAAGAGAAACTCCCACAAAACTAGACAGTTCAAACAAAACGATACCCATCATGAGCGGTGGTGCTCATGGAAAACTTCGACATACCTCACTGCCTTGTAAGCGGCATCTGCAATCATAGATTGTGTCAAATGCTCTAAAGGACTCACCTCTGTCCACCCTCTGTACCCCCTCCTTCACGCCAAGAACTAATCTCAATTTGTTTCTGATCGGCGAACGCACGTCCGTTGTTGTTGGAGAATAAAACGCCGCTGACCTGCTCTTCAACTACAACTTCAGTGGTCCCTTTCTATTCCACTAATACAAGCAGCCCAAGTGACACAGGTTCTCAGCCAAATAAGCTTTGACTTGGATGCTCCATAAGATGCTACAAATTCAGCCTCTCACTGGTGGAGTTCAACTGAGTTTGTTTAACACACTCTTTTTCCAAGACCTACAACTCCGCCACGCCAATAGAAAAACGTCAGCCCAGATGTGGATTTTCTCAACTGTCCTTGGATCCACCCCAAATCAATAATCAGATACCCAATGATCTATAGCTGATCTGATCTCCCTACTATGCTGAGCATATGGTCCATAGTCCTCTGAAGATATCCTATGACTCTTTGGCCTGCTTCCCCAACTCGATCATCTCTGGATTTGCTGACGCCCACTCCTCTACCTAACATGCCAAACCTATAAAGAAATGTCTGGACGAGTACACACTTGCAACGCACTAACATAACTTCCTACCACTGACGCATAAGGACCTTTTGCCATTTCCGAATTTCAGTTCCACCTCTTTGGACCATTGCTTCGACTTAACTAAAATTTCTTCCCTTTCTGCAATACGGCGTATCCCAATGGTCTAAGAATTCTGCACCTACCCACTTCTCTCGCAGCACTTTATCAATATAGCTCCTTTTGTGATAATCCACGAATACCTCGAGACGGTCTCGACTGATCTAATCCTAAAACAACACACCCGCACGCTTCACTCAATTTTTCATCTCAACAATCGCTTTGAAAGAAAAACTTCTGGTTTCCCACTGCAGCAAGAACTTTACAATTAGTTAGCAAGAAGTATGTCATCCACATCCATCACCCCACCAAAAAGATAACCTACTCCCACTAAACTTATGGTACACAAAATTTTCAACAGATTTGCCTCAAAGCCAAACGAGACAATTACTTAGTTGAACTTAAAGTACCATTGACGAGAAGCTCGCTTGAGTCCATAAATGGATTTCTTTAATTTGCATACCAGATGTTTTGGATCTCCAATTACAAAATTTTCTGGTTGCACCATATATATTGTTTCATCAATGTTGCCATTGAGAAACGTAGTCTTAACATCTATTTGATGAAGCTCAAGATCAAGATTTGCAACTAAGTCCATGATTGTCCTAAAAGAATCCTTCGAAGAAACTGGAGAGAAGGTTTCTTTATAGTCAGTCCCTTCCTTTTGAGTAAAGCCTTTTGCTACAAGACGTGCGTTATATCTTTCCACATTACCTTGAGAATCCCTTTTGGTTTTAAATATCCATTTGCAACCAATGGGTTTCTTTCCTTCAGGTAATTGAACAAGATCCCAAATTGACACAAGATCCCAAACTTGATTGTCTTGCATAGACTTATACTCTTCGTTCATTTGCCTCATCACTTATGAGATCCCAGAACTCTGCATGGCATGATAAGAAACTAACTGGATCCATCATCCTATCATGTCTACAAGTATCCTCAATGTTCCTGAAGAAGACACTATACTAATCATCTGGCAAACACTTCTTCTCTCCCTAGTAGATCTCCTCAAAGGCATTTGAACAGACTCTAATTCTTGAGGTTGTTGAATTTGTTCTTAAGGAAGAATAGCATTGTCTGGAATTGGATCTTGAATAGTGACAGGAGCAACTGGAGTCTGTACGCTATCAGAAACAACAAAAGGAATGAGAACCGAATCATCCTTACTTGGTTCCTCTTTAAAGACAATGTTTCTTTCTTTATTTCTCCCTCCAAAATCAACATCCTCAAAAAATGTTGCAATTCTCGTTTCAAAAAAAAGTTCTGGAAGTAGGATTATAAGTAGGATTAAAAACTTCGTACCCCTAAAGAACCGCTCGATATCCAACAAAGTAGCTGCTGTAAGTTTTTTGGAGGTCCATTTGTTCATCTCGGCTTGTAAAGGCCCTTGCTTCAAGCTGGACATCCAAACTGAAGAGCTTTAGACTAGGCCTTCGTCCAGTCCAAAGTTCAATAAGGTGTTTTTGCAACTGCTTTTAAGATGGAATCTATTCGAGAAGATAAGCTGCTGTCTTTAACGGTTCACCCACCACAGAATCTGGTAAAGTAGAATGATTAATCATACTCCTTACACTCCATAAGTCTAATACGCTCTCAGATACCCCATTCATCGCTGGGGTACCAGGCATGTGTATCTTGAGGGACAATCCACATTTCTATAGGAAAAGCGCAAAAAGGTCTCGGACGTTTGTCGCGTCTGAACCGTCGTCATATTTACCATAATATTCACCACCACGGTCAGATCGAACAGATTTAATCTTCTTTCCTAGTTGATTTTCAACTTCGGCTTTATAAGATTTAAACAGGTCCAAAGACTCAGATTTTTCATGAATGAGATATAAGTAACCATAACGAGAATAGTCATCAATGAATGATTATCTTTGGCCATTTCTAGCTGCAATATGGAATGGACCGCAAATATCTGTATGAATCAGTTCTAAAACATTGGATGACCGAATGGCACCTAGTCTCTTCTGTTTAGTCTGTTTTCCTTTAATACACTCAATACAAGAATCCAAACCTGTGTAATCAAGTGTATCTAAGATACCATCAGAAACAAGACGCTCAATCCTTGATTTGGATACATGACCCAAACGTCTATGCCAAAGTACAACTGAGTTATCAATATTCAATTTTCTTTTGGTACCTTTCTTTTGGTACCTCTTGTAGTAACATGTAGGGATTCATGATAACTAGTATCAATGTCTAACATATATAGATTATCACATTCATTCAAGCAACCAGTACTCAAAACTTTTGAATTCATAGATAAAGTGAATACACTGTCTCCAAAAGAACAATGAAAACCAGATTTGTCCAAACAGGAAACAGAAATCAAATTCCTTCTAAAAGAGGGAATAACAAAAGTATCTATAAGATCCAAAAAATAGCCAGTACTTCCTCTACTTCAACCGGATCGCCTCTTTCACCGTCAGTTGGCTTTCTGTAGTTAAGGCAGCCCTGCAATGAAACACTTATATGAGCGGTAGCACCAGAATCCATCCAATAAGTGTTTTTAGGAGCTGAAGTTAAATTAACTTCATAACAGACTAAAACAAGGTACACAAGGTACTTACCCCTCTTTGCAAGCCAATTAGCAAATTTAGGACAGTCCTTTCTCAAGTGATCCGTCTTTCCACAAAAGAAGCATTTTGGCACATAAGGCTTCTTTTGTACTGGATCTACAGCAGTAGCAACAGCAGGTTTCTCAATAGCCTTTTCAACAGTCTTTGCAGAAGGCCTCTTTCTTTTCTTGTTCTTGCCCTTCTCAGCTGAAGAAACAAAATGAGCACTCTCTCTTTTGTTAGAATTCCTCCTCATCAACACAATGAGAAATGAGCTCGTTAAGAGTCCATTTATTCGGCTGACAATTATAGGATAGGAAGTCCTAATTTGTCCATACTGAGAAGGAAGAGAATTCATAACCAAATGGACTAAAAGGTCATCTGGTAAAGCCATCCCCAGCGACTTCAGTCTCTTTGCAATCTGAGACATGCTAAGAATATGCTCCCGAACACCACCATTGCCAGCAAACTTCATAAAGGTTAATTTTCCTAAAAGTGTTTCGGCTTTGTCATTCTTGACATAAGCCCTCTCCAGCTCGGCAAGATAGTTTTGAGCATTGTTCTTTTCAGCTGAGACAGAGTCTCGAACATGTTCTGGTACTCCTTTCTGCATGATCATCAGACCTAAGCGATTAGAACGCTCCCGCTTCTCATACTGAACCCTTTGAACATCAGTGCTCGTAGCAGTAAGAAGAGGAGCAGGTTCGTCCATCCTGAATGCAAGATCCAAATCCATACAGCCCAGAAAGATCATAATGTCTGATTTCCAAGACTCAAAATTTGATCCCTTAAGTTTAGGGACACAATCAGGATTAAATGACATGTTAGCTGACATCAGAGAAAATAAACAAATAGATAAGTATAAGCTCACAATTCACAAATGAAACAATTCACATAAGTAGAGATAAAAATGGAAATAAGATACAGACTCAACATTAATATTCTCATCTTTGGATGTAAAATATTCACTTGTAATTAGTATCTCAACGCAGCAATCAAATATTGATAACATAGTCCTGACAAATAATAAATCTTCCTTTGGACCGATATATCATTGTCATGGAAAATAATCAAACAATTATCACATACTTATTGTCTTATGCCAAACATGTTTCACACTCAGCCAGCATAGCACCTTCCTTGGGCCGATTAACTATCCGCACGAATTCTAATACCTGTCTAATATCTCTAAATCACTCAATTCAAGCAATAAAGAGGTACTTTGGGGTGATTATTGATCAAATCAATTTATTTTAAACAAATATCAAAACACAATAGGGATTAATCACTCCAAATTAATTCTCAAGTCGACAAGATTTTTCATTAATTGTTCCAAAATTAAACAAAAACATTGCAATTAAATGATTGATTGTCTAAATATTTAATATCTAAAATTTATTTACCCAAATATATATATATTATATATATATATATATATAATATATATATATAATAATATATATATATATATATTAATGCTAGTCTTTTAAGTCACTAAACTTAGGAGACTAAGATTATAAAATTGGGACTAAATAAATTTGAAATACATAAGTTGGGGGGTCTAATTATTAACATATATTCATGGGTTCTATACGAAAGAAAATAGGAAATTAGGGGCCTAAATCTGAAGGTTACAGAAATAGGGGCCAATCTGAAGTTTAAGGAACTAAGGGGTTTAAACTCTGAAATTAAGAACTTAGGGGCCTAATCCTGAAGTTACAAGAAAATTAGGGGCTTATACGAAATTTTCCATCCCTAACCTTAAACCAAAAAAACCAATCGAGACAAGGTTCTTTCTCCGCCGAATCTCCAAAGAACAAATGGAGAAATTCCGTTTTTTTTTTTTTTTTTCTTTTAAACAAAATCCGGCCAGCAAAAACAAAATACCACCGACGTGAAAATCAGGGTCCAACACATGATTGAATCAAAAGAAAACACAAAACATTAAATATCAAAACCTCTTACCTGTTCTTCGTATTCCCCAATGAGAACAAAATTTTTTTTTTTATTATTATTATTAGGTTTGCAGCCTTCCAGAGAATTGAAGAATCGATTTAGCGGAAGCAGTACGAAAGGAACGTAAAACTGAATCGTATTCAACTCTTCTGGGGACCAGGACCTTTATATACCTGTAGGGTTAGTACAATTCCTATTTCAGTCCTTTAACGAAATAGAAATTATATAATGGTCTCTCCACTTAATATCTATAATTAGTTGACACAATAGTCAATTATTCACAATCAAGACCACATTTGAAATTGACTTTACAATTAGACTGCTGTACATATTTAATTTTACATATTAAGCCCACAATAGAAAAGTAAATCCAACAAGGAAATCGTTAACAAGATCTTGAAGAAATTGTACCCTGCATATTATAGTGTTTGCAGCAACTTATCTGGGATTGACGTACACATCGATAATCTTTGGTCATTGTTATCTATTAGATCAAAAGGTGTTCGCTTTATTGGAATTTGGGGAATGGGAGGTATAGGAAAGACAACCATTGCTGAAGTTCTTTTCAGTCGAATATCTGATAAATTTGATTATTGTTGCTTTCTCAGCAATATCAGGGAAAAATCAGAAAAATATGGACTATTTCACTTGCGAAAATGTCTTTTTTCGGAACTTCTACAAAATGAAAATTTGAATCTGGAAATGTACCATGTACTTCCAACTATTGTTTTGGATATGCTTCGTCGAAAAAAAGTTTTCATTGTTCTTGATGATGTTAATGATTCCGATCAATTAGAGGCTTTAGCTGGACATCATGATTGGTTTGGTCCTAGAAGTAGAGTTATTATGACTAGTAGAGACAAAGAAGTACTTGACAATGGAGTTGACATAACATATACGGTCGAGGGCTTACAATACCGTGATGCTCTTAAATTATTGAGTATGAAAGCCTTCAAGCAAAAGCATCCTCCAAAAGATTTTATACAGTTGTCAGAAAGGGTATTGAATTATGCTAAAGCTGTTCCATTAGCTCTTAAAGTTTTGGGTTCCCATCTATGCAAAAGGTTATGCAAAAGGTCTCCAAAGGAATGGGAAAGTGTATTGGACAAACTAAAACAATTCCCTGATTCTAAGATTCAGAAAATCTTAGAAGTAAGTTATGATACACTAGAACAAAATGAGAAGGACATATTTCTTGATGTCGCTTGTTTCTTCAAAGGAGAAGATAAAGATTGGGTGGAAGATATACTAAATGGTTGTGGTCTTGCTGCAAGCATGGGAATAAATCGTCTAAAGGATAAGTGTCTCGTAGTCATTGTTCAAAGCAACTTAGAGATGCATGACTTGATACAAGAAATGGGTCAGGATATTGCTGAAGGGGTAGCCGATTATGGAATCCCATGAACATATGTGATACCTTGACAACTGAGACCGTAAGAAATGAAATTTTCTCTGTTTTATTTTGGTAGATATTTGAATTGAAATACCAGGATGATATTATTTTCTTTTTAGTAAGAATTAAAAGTTATGAATTACCACTTATTTCTGGTGAGCCTTATTTTATTATTATACAACTTCTATTGCATACTTGATTATCTTAAAGACTAAGCAATCAAAAATAAGTATAAAATTGGAGACTTTGGTTTGTTATGCTATATCCCACATGAATCGTCTTATGATTTGCATTGAAGTTTTAGATATCCACATATGCTTTTGATAATATTATATGCTAATTGCTATTTGCTATTTACTCTTGTTTTTTAGCTCTTGTTTTTTAGATGAAAGAGGCAGTTGAAGGCATATTCTTGGACATGTCTAAAATGGGAAAGGTACACTTGAATCATGCAACCTTCTCATGGATGCCTAACTTGAGATCGCTGATATTTTTTAGGTCTCAGTATTGTTCCAAAAACAAGGACACTGGCTTCATGCTTGAATCTCCACAATCGAATTATTTGCAGTATCTTTCTAACAAGTTGAGTTTACTTCATTGGGAAGAATACCCTTACAAATCTATGCCATCAAGTTTTTTCATGGAGAACCTTGTTCAACTTGACTTGCGAGAGAGTAGGATTGAACAACTTTGGACTGGAGATAAGGTGTGCTTTAAATTATCGTTTTATCACTTGCTATTTATTATTGTATTAATAGAAAAGAATAACATCTCAGAATAAACTAAGTAAGAAGTATATATTTTTCAATCCACCTATCCTGGGAATTGAATTCAAGATATTAATTTGCCCAAAATTTTCAAATCTCATTCACAATTTAATTTGTTCAGACACTAACAGTACAATATTTTTCATTTGCAGTGTCCTCAGCAATTAAAATATCTCAATCTTTTTGGATCCATGCAATTAACCAGGCTTCCAAATCTCTCTTCAGCAACAAATTTGGAGTGGATGAATCTTGGGCTTTGTATGAGGTTGATTGAGATTCCCTCATCGATTCAGTGCCTCCTTAAGCTCGATTGAGATTCCCTCATCGATTCAGTGCCTCCTTAAGCTCAAATATCTTGATCTATACAGGTGTGAAAAGCTGAGAACTCTTCCAAACCTCATTCAGTTGAAATCTCTTGCACATCTCCGTCTCTCTTACTGCTCAAACTTGAAGACTGTTCTAGAAATTCCAAGAAACATACAAGTATTGGAACTAGAATGGTCTGGATTGGAAGAGTTCTCCCCAAATGTTCAAGTTCTTGACAATCTTCAATACTTAAGTATACGGCAATGCAAAAACCTACGAAGTCTTCCACGTTGTATTAATTTAAATTACGATATTAAGAAACACATACTTGATCTCACAGGCTGCTTGAATCTCAAAAAATTTCCTGTGATTCTTGGAAATATTGAAGTATTAGTGTTAAATCAGACTGGAATAGAAGAATTGCCCTCATCCATACAATATCTCTTTTCTCCTGTTGAGTTGGAAATGAAGAAATGTGTGAGGCTCCAAAGTCTCCCAAGTAGTATTTGTGAGCTGAAATTGCTTCAAAAGTTTGTTCTTAGTGGATGCTCAAAGCTTAATAAATTGCCACCTTTATATGGCTTGTATTCTTTAGAAGAGCTATATCTAGATGGCAGTAGGCTAAAAGAAATTCCCAGTGACATAGTTTCTCTGACCTCATTAAGAGTGCTGAATCTAAATAACTGTGACAAACTCCATGGTTTGCCAGAGCTTCCATGCAGACTAATGGAAATCCAAGCAGTGAATTGCAGAAATTTGAGCAAGAATGCGCGCTGCAAGATTGTGGAAGATGTGCATCAGAGAATTGAAGAAATGGCATTTGCTACTGCTTTGGTAAGCCTACTGCTTTGGTAAGCCTCTTCCCCCTCTTTCTTTCACCTCTTTCTATTAAGACAAAAATTTTCTTTCTACCTAATGATATCTTTTTTTTTTTCTTTGACCTCTTGCCTATTCATTTTAATTTTTTTACGACAGTCTTATAGGCGCGCAATAAATATTTCAAAGTGGGATATTGTCATTGGTTTACCCGGAGGTGAAATTCCAGAGTGGGATACTGTTGTTTGTTTATGCAGAAATGAAGTTCCGGAGTGGGATAGTCTTGGTTTTCCAAGCAGAATCCCAAAGTGGTTTAGTTATCAAGGCCAAGGATCCTCATTTTCTATCCTGTTCACTCCCAATTGGTTTGATGTCTTAGGTTTTACTTTTTGTGCTGTTATAGAATTTTACTTTTTGTGCTGTTATAGAATTTGATATTCCTCTTCACAAATGTGATGATTTCTTCATTACATGTGAATGTCATTTCAAAAGTGATAACGGTGGCCGGAAAGTTCAGTTCAGAAGTAGCACCATCCATTTGGAGGTCATTCTTCACTCAGATCACTTGTTCCTTTGGTACGATAATTTTCACGCTAATCTTAATTTAAGGAAATGGCTCATAGGAAACAAAGTCAATGAGGGCTTATGCAAGTTCAAAGCAGAAGCAAGAGGATTTAACAAGGGGAAATTAAAGGTGAATGGATGTGGTCTACAACTACGGTATGCTGAATGGATGCCGGGGAAACGGATGCGTAACAGACTCCAAAACAAAATTTCCGTAGAGTGTGGATCAACCAAGCGGAGAAGCAGGGAAGACTACTGCTCTAATCAAACTGATATCATTGGAGATGGCATGTTTGATTATGTGGAAGAGGAACCTCACCCAAAAAGATTAAAGCAAGCAATTTTGCTTTGTGAATGATTACCTCTTCTAATGTTTAAAGGGATCGACTCTGTTGCTCTTATGATTATTTCAATCTCTTGTCCGGAAAGTGACCATAGCATGTCCTGTTTTTCTACTTTTGCCATTATGGCAAGCAACTGGACTATGAGTATGACTCTATCTTTCACTGTTTGTTGTCGTCGTATTCTTTTGTTGTGCTCAATAGCACTCATTGCCTTTGATGGAAAATAAAAGTGAAACCTTAGTAGACGCCAATCAATATATATTTTGTTGAAGACTAATTCAAAATTGGTCAAAATAATATTTGTTTTGTTTTATATTTTCTTGAGTTAGTGCAGTTGTCTTTTCCTTGAATTTCTAGTTATTTGGTTGTTGAATAAGTCTATAGCTAGTGGGAGAAATATCTAGTGTTGGTGGAGTATTTGTAGCTATTTAAGTTTTCTTGTTTGCCTATTTATAAGCAACATTTGTTCTGCAATTATCATTGAAGCATTCAGTTCAAATAACTCAGCAAATTTGAGTCTTTCTTTTCTGCTAAAACTATTTTTTATTCAATACTCTGCTGCTTTGATTTCCAACATTTGTGGTATCAGAGCCCCAGATTCTGTTGCTCACCAAGGGTATATCAGAAGTCTTGATAAGGCTCCATGGCATCAAATTAATTCACCCAACGTTGCCTAACCAGCCATCCGCGTTTTCAAAGGAAAGAATTATGAGGCTTGGAGCATCAAATTGATGACTCCATTTTAAGTTTCAAGACCTATAGGACTTAGTAGAGAATGGGTTTACTATTCCAGAAGAAAAGAATCGCTTGAGGGAAAATCGAATGATGTATTCCAAAGCCTTATTCTTCATTCAGCAAATAGTGCATGAGATTATTTTCTCAAGAATTGCAGCAGCAACTACTTCGAAGCGGGTATGGACAACTTTGCAAACTGAGTTTCAAGGCCAATCCAAATTAAGTAATAGCCGTGAAGGTCCAAACTCTATTGTATGAGTTTGAACCTTGCTTATGAAAGGCAATGAATTAGTGCAAGATTTCCTATCTAGAGTGATGGCAATCATTAGTTAGATGAGCTCATATATATGGAGATCAAATAAGTGATGAAACTATTTTTGCAAAGGTTTTAAGGGGTCTTACTCCTAAGTTTGATCACGTTGTAGCTGCAATTGAGGAGTTCGAGGACCTATCAGCCTTTTCATTTGATGAAAAGCATGAAGAAAGGATGAACAGGATAACTGAAAAACACGAAGAAAAAGCCTTTCCAGGGAAGGGGTGTGCACCTCAATTGAATCTGGTAAGGCAGCAGGAAGAGGACGATGCAGTGATGTTTTCATGGAAAAGGCGGTCGTGGGCAAAGGTTATGACCAACGACATTACAATGAGCAGAAAGGTAACAAGAGTAACATCCAATGTTACAATTGCAAGTAGTTTGGCCGTACTAAATCTGGTTGCAGGGACAAGGAGAAACTAATGAATTATGCAGAGGCAAATGGTGAAGAAAGCAAGTTATTGCAGACGGGGGAGTTCTCGATCAATCTGATACTGGGAGCTTTGATCAGTAATTCGTAGCAGCCAAGAAATCCTAAACTTGCTTTGCTGTCTATAAATTACCAAAATGTTGCTTATCTTTAGTGAGGTGGTGTTACCAAGCCAGCTCATGATCTTTGCCCTGTCAGCTTCCCAAATAATCAGAAACTGAGGAAGGAGATACGATAACAGAACAAGTAATATAACCCCCAAAGATTGTATTATATTAACTTTCATCATACTGTAGAAGAGAGTAGAGAGTAATGACCATAATAACGAAGAGATTATTTTATATAAATGACCTAAGCTAGGAAAGAATAATGAGAGATATCAGAAATTTTTAAAAGTTTACCTCTATCAGTTGGGATAAGTAGATTAAGAAAATATAATTTTTAAGGAAAGGTATAAAGTGTTTTATTTGATTTATTAATTTTACTTTTCGAGAAATAGATTATTCAACGTTACTTGCAAAAAAAAAAAAAAAAAAAAAAATTTCGAGAAAAATAGATTATTCAAACGTTACTTGCAAAAAAAAAAAAAAAAAAAAAAAAAAAAAAAAAAAAAAAAACTTTCATAGATATGGATGAGGAAGTGCAACTTCCATAATTAAGCAGAAAAAATTTACAAAACTTATTCTAATATTTAAATACAATTAATTTATGTTTTGAATATTATTATCTTTTATAATCTAAGAGCAATTTAACGCTTTGAAAATAAATTAGTATAACTGTCAGAGTATCTCTAATGTCAAGATTGCTATTTGTGTATTAATCGGATGCTCTTTTTAGGTTTTCACATAAGTATTTATAATGCATTCCGATTTGCAACTGACTATGTATATTTATGGTAAAAATCTTAGCTATAAATACGGAGCGAGAATTTTAGTAATTAATAACTTTTAATAATTCTTTATTCAATCGAATATAAATGTTATTCAATCTTAACTGGTTGCTCAGCTCTTATATTGCTTGTTTTTTAGACTTGTTCGGTACAAATTAATAATCTCTTTCTATCACCAGCCAAACATCACTTAAAAATAAAAATTTAGAGTATAGAAAAAAATAAATATTGATAATATAGAAAATTAAAATTTTTAACTAATTCATTTGACATCTACCCCATTTGGACGAACAGTCACATGTCAACAAAGACGGAAAATATAATTGAGGTTTGAAAAAAAATAAACATATAGATTATATAAAGAAAATAAAATTTAAACATATAGATTATATAAAGAAAATAAAATTTTTAACTAATTTATTTGGAAGCTAGCCCATTTGGTCGGACATGCACACATAAAAAAAGACTGAAAGCAAACTTTTATTTATATATTTTCTTGGTCGGTGCTGTAACTTTATATTTATTTATTTATTTATTTATTATTATCGTCAAACTCTCGTATCTTTCTTAACATTTTGAAGCTTTTAATTTTAGAAAAGAGCACTCGGCTGCATTCCACTAACACGTAAATAAAGATTGATAAAAAGCTTTACCGTGAATCGGAAAAAAAAAAAAAAAAAAAAAATTCTAATTCTACATGCGAGTGCATCTCATGTCCTATGCTTCTTTAAACACAAAAGGAGGGGGAGATCAATTTAGGTTATTTTGATCACATATAGAGATCTTTAAACTTTCTTCTTCCTTGATCTTCCAGCAATTCTTCAAGTTTCAGAGTCATCTTTTTATCCATTACTTCTTTCTTCTAGCGAACAAACAGAGTAACATAACTGTCAAAAACTCATAATGTCTTTGATTTTGTCTTCCACCGTTCCCCCTAAAACAAACTATGATGTTTTCCTTAGTTTTAGAGGCATTGATACCCGCAAAAATTTTACTAGCCATCTTTATGCTGCTTTAAAGCAAAAGCATATCACTACATTTATGGATGATTTATGGATGATTGAGAGAGGAGAAGAGAATATAGAAGAGATATCTTGGTCGCTTTTGAAAGCTATTGAAGAATCAAAGATGTCAGTTATCATTTTCTCCAAAAATTATGCCTCCTCTCGTTGGTGTTTGGATGAACTGGTCAAGATAATGGAGTGTATGGATTCAATGGACCGAATGGTTTTACCAGTTTTCTATCACGTAGACCCATCTGACGTTAGAAATCAAATTGGAAAATTTGGGGAGGAATTTCTAAAAGTTAAAGAAAAATTCAAGGAGAACGTAGAGAAAATTGAGACGTGGATCTCTGCTTTGAGGCAAGCAGCCAATTTATCTGGGTGGGATTCTGGGTGGGATTCCAACAATTACAGGTAAAATTAGGAATACTTTTTCTTTTTTTTTTTTTTTTATATTTTGTTTATGAAGAATTGCTTACATAAAATTATGTTTTTATAGCCTATCTGTTATTTATGACCTTGAGAAAAATTATGTTTTTATAGCCTATCTGTTATTTATGACCTTGAGAATAATCCAATCAATAGACCTACAATCCAAAACATCTGCACTTGATAGTTTAGAGTCAAACCAAAATCATGATTATTGTTTGCTTTCTTTCTACTTTCTTATTTTTTAAAAGAACTTTTGAATTGACATTATCATAGAGTTGATAGATAGAATGCTTTATATTACCAAATTCTTTACTTGTTACAAAACGAGTGGTTTTTCAAATTTAATTGAAGTACAATAGAATATTCCGATCTTGAATACTTTTTGTTTTAAAAAAAAATAAAATTGTTCTTGACATTGTCAAGTTTATTTATAAGTTTATTTGGACCAACTAATATGTTTTGCTTGTCATATTTGCTAGGACTGAATCGGAATTGAGTGAGGCAGTAGTCAACCAAATTTTGAATAAATTATATCCTGCATACTTCAGTGCTTGCACTGACTTATCTGCGATTGATTCACACATTAACAAACTTTTGTCATCGTTAAGTATTGGGTCAAAAGATGTTCGTTTTATTGGAATTTGGGGAATGGGAGGTATAGGAAAGACGACCATTGCTGAAGTTCTTCTTAGTCGAATATCTGATCAATTTGATAATTTCTACTTTGAGAGCAATGTTAGGGAAAAATCAGAGAAAGATGGATTAGTTCAATTGCGAAAATGTCTCTTTTCCAAACTTCTACAAAATGAAAATTTGAGCATGGATATGTATCATGTTATACCAACTTTTATTCTGGATATGCTTAGACGAAAGAAAGTTTTCATTGTTCTCGATGATGTCAATGATTCAGACAAATTAGAGGCTTTAGCTGGAAATCATGATTGGTTTGGTCCTGGTAGTAGAGTCATTGTAACTAGTAGGGACAAAGAAGTACTTAACGATGTTGATGAAATATATGAGGTTAAGGGATTAAAATATTCTAATGCTCTTCAATTATTGAGTATGAAAGCCTTTAAAAAAAAGCATCCTCCAAAAGATTTTGTAGAGTTGTCAGAAAGAGCAGTAAATTATGCTAATGGCGTTCCATTAGCTCTTAAAGTTTTGGGTTCCCATCTATGCAAAAGGCGTATAGAGGAATGGGAAAATGTATTGGATAAACTGAAACAAACCCCTGATTCTAAGATTCAGAAAGTCTTAGAAATAAGTTACGATACGCTAGAACCAAGTGAGAAGGATATATTTCTTGATATTGCTTGTTTCTTTGAAGGACAACGTAAAGATTGGGTAGCAAATATACTAAATGGATGTGGTCTTGCTGCAAGTATGGGAATAAATCGACTAATGGATAAGTGTCTCGTAGTTGTCTTTGGAAACAACTTAGAGATGCATGATTTGATACGAGAAATGGGTCAGGATATTGCTCGACGCATGGGTAGCCGATTATGGAATGCCACAAGAATTTATGACACTTTAATAACTGAGACGGTAAGATATGATATTTCTTCTCTTTCATACATGAAATTTATGAATGGACATATGCTAAGGATGTCATTTTCTTATTCTTTAAAACAAATTATGCAGTATTCCTTATTTCTGTTAGGTATATTATCACTGTACTGCTTTTATTCCATGATTTTTCTTAACACAAAGCAATCAGAGGCCAATATAAGATTGGAGTTTGGTTTGTTATTTTATCTATACGAGTCTGTGTCATGGTTGTCATTAAGGTTTTAGACGTGTATAGGCTTTTGATAATATTGTATGCTTACTGCTATGCACTATTTGCTCTTGTTTATTAGATGAAAGAAACCGTTGAAGGCATATTCTTGGACATCTCAAAAATTGGGAAAGTGCACTTGCATCCTGCAATCTTCTCACGGGTTCCTAATTTAAGACTGCTAAAATTTTATAGGTCTTGCCCTGACACAAACACAGATTCTATATTTGAACTTGGTCAGGCGAAAGAGCTTCAGTTTCTTCCTAATAAGATAAGTTTATTCCATTGGGAAGACTGCCCTTACAATTCTTTGCCATCAAATTTTTTCATGAAAAATGTTGTTGAACTTAACATGAAAGGGAGCAAGGTCAAGCAACTATGGAATGGAAATAAGGTATGATTTAAGTATATAATTTGCTTTTGTACAGGGTGTACTATACATTATTAGAGGTTAATAGTTAAATGATATATTTTATTCTATATTAATACAAAATATTGTGTATGAGTTTTTTTTCTTTTAACAATTGACATTCATATTAATACAAAATCTATATTAATACAAAATATTGTGTATGAGTTTTTTTTCTTTTAACAATTGACATTTAAAAAGAAATTGGTTTAATGTGCAGTGTCCTCAAAGGTTAAAATATCTTGATCTTTCAGAATGCGAGTACTTGGAAACACTCCCGGATCTCTCTTCGGCTCCAAACCTAGAGGATATTTGTCTTTCAAATTGTAAAACCTTGAGCCAAATTCCCTTATCCATTCAGTGTCTGCACAACCTTTATGCTCTTGATCTGAGAGGTTGTGAGAAGCTGAGGAGTCTTCCAAGACTTGCTCAGTTGGGCTCTCTTTCGATTCTTTCTCTTAATGGGTGCTCAAATTTGCAGATGCTTGTAGATGTTCCAAGAGGACTAAAGTTCTTATTTTTAGGGGAATGTGGGTTAGAAGAGTGGTTCCAAGAGGATGGACTTGTCTGTAATCTTCAAATCATAGACGTACGGAACTGCAAAAACCTTAGAAGTCTTCCAAGTAGTGATTGTTTGAATTCTGTTAAGAAACTTAGTCTTAAGGGTTGTTCAAGTCTTAGTAAGTTCCCAGAGAATATAGGAAATAATATAACAAAGTTAGATTTAAGTTATACTATGATAGAAGATTTGCCATCAACAATTTTGCGTCTCTCTTCTCTTTATCAGTTAGATATGCAAGGATGTAAAAGGCTCAAGAGTCTATCGAGCAGCATTTGTCAATTGAAATACCTTACAATTGTTAATCTCAGAGACTGTTCAAAGCTTGGCAAACTGCCTGATTTACATGGTTTGTGCTCTTTAAGAGAACTTCGTCTAGACTTTTAAGAGAACTTCGTCAGAACGCACTGCACTTGGTAGAAATCCCCAGTGACATAGTCTGGTTTTATCATTCGTTTTAAAAGTGTTGTATCTAAAACGGACTTTTAAAGTGTTGTATCTAAACGACTGCAATAAACTCAAAGGTCTGCCAGAGCTTCCAAGCCAATTACAAGTACTTGAAGTAAAAAACTGTATGTTGCTGAAAACTGCAGTATCAACTTCATGCATTTTACCCATAAAGCCTGAACCGTGTGGTTTCAAATTTGATTTTATGAACTGCTTCAATTTGGATCAAAATGCACGTGGCAATATCATGGGAGATGCAGAGTTGAGAATGAAAGAATTAGCTATTTGGTCGGTAAGCATTTGAGCCTCTTCATCTGTCTTTTTTCATTCCCCGATTCCAAGTAAATCATATATATAAATATCTAATTTGTCTTTCTTTTTTCCTGTTATCAAGCAGAGGAATAATGTCAGAAGGAGTCAGGATATGATAACCTCTTTTCTTCATTTTGATCTCACTTTATGTGGAAGTGAAATTCCAGAGTGGTTCAGCTTTCAAAGCCAAGGGTCTTCACTAAATGCTGATATGCTCCTTCCATCTTGGTTTATTTCTACATTTCTAGATTTTGCTTATTTCTACATTTCTAGATTTTGCTTTTTGCGTTGTTGTGGAGTATGAGATTCCTGCTATCAACAGCGAGGAATATTATGATTTTGATCTCAGGGTTTCATGTAAATGTTGTTTCAAAACCACAAATGGATACAAAAAGTATTTCATCACTTATTTTAGATCTGATCACGAGCCTCGCTTTGGATCAGATTATGTGTATCTTTGGTACGACCACCGAACCACTCGAGATCTAAGTATCTGGCTCATACGGAACTGTTATAGAGTCAATGAAGCCTCATTTGAATTCAAAGCAGAAAAATTTTCTGGTAAGAAAGAAGTAAATGTGAAAATGAAGGTGAAGAGTTGTGGGGTTCACCTGGTGTGCGCTGAAGATGAGAGTAGAATTCAAGCAACAAGTTCATATTTTCTGGGTGGTCAGGTGATGGAAAGTGATTCCATGTCTGTTTCCATGTCTTGATTACGAGGAAGATTGAGCCGCTGCCTAAAAAATTAAAACCATTCCCCCTCATTCTGTTTGAAAGACTTGATTTTTTATAATTAAAGGTCCATATATTTTGTAGTTGTTCAATTTGTATCTAAGGTTTTCTGTTTTACAACTAAAATAAAAAAATAAGTCAATAATATTTAATAAATACAATTTTATGTTTTAAAAATTACTAATAGATTTTCTTCTTATTACATTATTTCAAGATATTCTTTGAAAAATAACAGAATGATTTAATATTTTTAATTTCCTTGATCTCTAGTTAAACTCTTTAAAAAACGTTATATTGCATTAATCTAAAAACAGTATTTTTGATTCCAAAAGTCTTTTAAAAGTATTGTTGTGAGGATATCGATTTGAAAATGTTTGAATTGATAACAGGAGTGGTTATTAAATTTTATCAAGGGCGCCGCTTTTAAGGAAATGTCCTCTGTATTTTAAAAATATTATTTATTGCCCTTTAAAAAAAATATTATTTATTATTTTATAGTTTTTTATGGATTGTTATTATATATAAGATAGCTTCTTCCCTTAATTTATTAAATTGGTTAAAATTTTTGTGGCTTTCTAATTTAACTAAATTTGGTGGAAAAACCGTTGTAATAGAGCGTTAAAATTTTTGTGGCTTTCTAATTTACTAAATTTGTGAAAACCGTTGTAATAGAGAGGACTCGAGCTTGAGATTTCGCACTTTTAGATGAGTGTATTGGATTAGAATTGTATTAGGTTTTAAAAGAATTGTTGATGGAATTGAAAGATTTTCTAAAATTTTCACGGATTCCAATAAAATTCTACATTGAGTTTTATGGAATTGATGAGTTTTTTTTATGGATTTTGATTAACTTTGATGGAATTACAATGATTTTTATATATCCAATCAAAATTTATTATAGGACCTAATTGAACAAATTAAAAAATAATGAGGGATTAAAAAGTAAAATGCGTCATATTTTACAAAATCGTTTTTTTTCTTTATGAAAGGTCTGCAATAGCCGGCGCCGTCTCCGGCTATCCTGTGCTCCCAGAACAGTCGCGATGTGATCAGAAGAGGATAATTCTGCCTCTTGGGACTCACTGGAGACTCGCTGGCCGAAAAACCGTGGCTGCTTGGAATCAAGCGCTCTTCACACAATCCGACTCGGTTTTTTGTCAGGAGTTCGATTTTGGCGTCTGTTGCGCGAGATCAGTCCCCTAGCTGGCTGGAACGGACCCGACAGTCCCCTCTCGTCGTTGGTCATGCGGTTTCGTTCTTCATGCTCCATCGCCAGGATCGTCTGAGGGAGGATGATCGTAGGAAAGGCCTGAATCGACAGGCACTCCTCCTTCACGCTGCAACAATCGAAAACGGCGGGGATCACCGGAAATTGAAGGAGAAGCAGCTATCTAAGGAGACAGCTCGACCCGTGCCTCCTGCCAGCCAGTTCGCCGTGACGGAAGACCGATGTGGTGACCAGCGGCTTTAGGAGAGTCGATCGCCACCTCGCTTTCGTCGAGCGGTGGCCGGAAACGAGGAGAGAGGAGGACGGCGCGCTCCTCGCAGAAGAAGAAGAAGAAGAAGAGAGGAAAAAGAAAGAAGGTAAGGCGATTTCTAGACCATTCCGGTTTGATTGGAACTGATTTGGTTCAATTCAGCGATTTGACTCGGTTTATAGGTTTTTCACTTGGTTTTCAAAAACTCAAATTGGTTTACTGGTCCAGTTTAGTAAGAATAAAATATTTTATCGTATAATCTCATTAGTCAAATTTAAAATTTAGTTTTTAAATAAAAATTCTACGAAATTAAATTTTTGGGTCGTTTCATTAAACCAATAGTCACTTGTGAATAGTCATCGTTTACTATAAATAAGTCATCATTCACTTGTGAATAGTCATTTAAAAAAAATGAGTCACTTGTAAAAATATTTATTGTATCTAATGTAAATTACTCAAAACGATTTATATTTTGAGACAAAATAATAAGCCAAAAACAACTTATAATTTGAGACAAAAGGAGTAGTTTCAAAAAAGGGAAAAGAAAAGATTCAATAATTTACAAGAATTGTTAACACATACAGATATTGAAGAATAATACAGTTTTCAAATTTAACTTTGATTAACAATGGGATTACTACTTCTATTTCATAATACTTAATTTCATGTCCCTTAAGAAAACTATTTTGTCTAAGTTACAATAAATTATTGAGTAAATTGACTATATTACTGTGACACCTTAGGCGAATCCCACATCGGCTAAGCACAAGGTGGAAGTGATGTACATAAGTTGTGGCAGGCCTTGAGTTCCCGAGACGCGTTTTGGGCTAGGAGGTGGTTCCCTGGCCAGGAACAAAACCGTGCGGGCCTGGGGCCCAAAGCAGACAATATCTCGGTAGAGCCTGGGATGTTACAAACTTGGTATCAGAGCCAAGCCTTGTCCCTATGGCTGGTGGTGGGGCAAATCTCAGCGAGGACGCTGAGTCCCTAAAGGGGGGGTGTATGTGACACCTTAGGCAAATCCCACATCGGCTAAGCAGAAGTCCCTAAAGGGGGGGTGAAGGGGGGGTGTATGTGACACCTTAGGCAAATCCCACATCGGCTAAGCACAAGGTGGAAGTGATGTACATAAGTTGTGGCAGGCCCAGGAACAAAACCGTGCGGGCCTGGGGCCCAAAGCGGACAATATCTCGGTAGAGCCTGGGATGTTACAATTACCCTACATTTAATACTAATTTTTTAAAAAAATAATTAAATTAAAGTAATAATTACTGATCATGTATAAAGGGTTAACATGAAAAAAAAAAAGATTTATTGCTCCTTGAAACCACAAATGTGATAAGTATTTTAGAATAAATTATTTTCTCAAATGTGATAAGTAACCACAAATGTGATAAGTATTTTAGAATAAATTATTTTCTCAAATGTGATAAGTAAATTTGTGATAAGATTGTTAAGAACAGAAGTAATATTTATAATTTTCTAAAAATGATAAATTAAATTAAATTTAAAAAAATAAAAATATTTTCTTAAAGTTGAACTTTGTTTAAGGCTCTTGAATGACACTTAATATTTTTATATTATTTATTAAAAAATATTATCTTTCTAAAACACTATTATAGTTAATACAAAATAATTACTTTTTTTTTTTTTTTTTTTCCCTTTGGTTGAGCGGAAGGGGAAATTTTAAATTCTCTTTCTTTCCCCCCCTTTTTTT